GAAGCTTTTGTCAGGGCTAGACACGTGAGGACTTATCAGAGATAATGACAGTAAAAAAGCCCGCCCTGAATTAAGGAATTATAACGACCTACCATTTGCTGGTCAGCTAATCTCTACCAGGCAAATTCTTTAGTCCTCTTTTTCGACCTCAAGAGCAAATACCATCACGACTCTTATTTCAGGGGTGGGGAAATGAGGCCCAGAAAATGGCGGCTGCCTGCCCAGGAGTCACACAGCTAGTATATGTTAAAGTTGCCTCTCTCCTTCCTCAGGGCTTTCCTTTGTCCACCAGGAAGTACAGAGCTCTTTCCTAAATGCTAAACAATTAGCTAATTTAGATGTTAGTTCCCTTACCTACTGAGAAGGAGGAAGCTGGACCTTGAGAACTGGCAGCTCGAAATTTCAGTGCACGAACAGTTGAGAAAAATAACAGTCTGAAAAACCCAGAAACTGACAGGCGGAAGCCTGAATCCATTCGAGCCGCTCTACAACAGTAAGTGGCCTCTGAAGGATAGAAATGGATTCCTCATAGTTCTGCAGGCTGGGAAGTTCAAAGTCAAGGCAAATTTGACATCCAGTGAGTGCCTGCTTCTTATTGTTAGATGGCACCTTTGCCCTGTGTCCTTCCTGGTGGAAGAAGCAGGACAACTCTTGGCATGGCTTTCTGACCACAAATCTCATTCCTGAGGGCTCTGGCTTCATGATCTTATTACCTCCCAAAGGCTTCAACTCCTGAAGCATTACATGGGGGGTCAGGATTTCAACACAGAAATTGGAAGGAAACACAAATGTTTGGCCTGTAAAAAGCATGGGTTTGGCCAGAAGCTGGTTACCTCAAATTAAAATGGGAAAAAAATATTCTTATGAAAAGTGTACTATTCTGGCCCTGGAAGCCCCATTGGCGGTGTTAGCAAGCATGAGAAGCCCCATTGGCAGTGTTACCAAGCATGAGAAGGAACAGAGCGGAGGCACACCGAGACTGATCATGGTTGATCAGAGGACTGGGCAGAAAGGAAGTCCTTAGAATCCTAGAGGGAACCGGAGAAGACCCCAGGAAAGGTAAGGAAACTGCTGTCGCGGCCACTAGTAGAGGATGCTAGTGGAGTCTATGGTTCTGCCTCCTGGAGTGTCTCCTGGGTGGCACAGTATCTATTCTTAGTAAGAAGGAGGCTTTCCTAGCAGCCCACTGACCGGTCCTACAGTGCAGTGCTGAGTGCCGAGCTCTCGGGGTAGTGAGAGAGACTGTGACCCTTACCTTTGTTGCAGCCTCACTGATGCCTGGCTCTCTGGAGTGTCCTAGGTGTTGCCGCCTTAGCAGTTCAAAGCAACGGATGCGCTGTGAAGCCAGGTGGATGGATGTCTGAGCATCTATCTATGAGGGCGAGATGGGCTTTGGGGAGCGTTGTTATTAAAGTGAAGGAAAGAAAAACTGCTGCTCGAAAAGTAGACAGTGCCCTAAATACTTTGGGGATAGCGGTTGTTGATCAGGGGAAACAAGACTGTTCCTAGAGGGCAGGCAAGAAGAGACTAGGGAGGGCCTCCCCAGTTCCACTGAACTGAACTTTGCCCTTTTCTCCTGACCTGAGCTGGCTTGTTCCTTTGAATGCATAAAAAAAAATCTGTGAGTCAAAACAGCCAATCTGTGCTAAGCCCTGTCTAAACTGTAACAGCAGCTAAGATAAAGATGCTCTCCCACCTCCAGCCCCTAAAAGAGCAAAGGGAATACAGGCGCCAGGAAACACCTGCCGCCAAACAAGAACAGTCACCTGGGAAGCCTCTGCTATCCCAAGGGTATGGAAAATGGAGTTGACTGACCCCACTGCTCGCTTGCGGCAGATTTGGAGATGAGGCACCTATTTTCACCAACTTTCCCGCCAATATAGCTGTCAGTTACCTATCTGCATGGCTGTGTCCCCCCTGGAGTCTTCTTTTTTTTTCTTTTTTTTTAATATTTATTTATTTATTATGTATACAGTGTTCTGTCTGTGTGTATGCCTGCAGACCAGAAGAGGGCACCAGACCCCATTACAGATGGTTGTGAGCCACCATGTGGTTGCTGGGAATTGAACTCAGGACCTTTGGAAGAGCAGGCAATGCTCTTACCCTCTGAGCCACCTCCCCCCCCCCCCCCCCCGGAGTCTTCAATTAACAGATAAGCTCACGGGGTTGATGACATTGGCATTGAGACCCAGCATGGCCCCTAATCCTGTGTGTGGACAGGAATACGTCACAGGACCTCTAAGCCCCATCTATCCAGCATGAGGCAGAGAGCTGTGCCTTCTTCATGTGCCTGGGTGACAGACTAAATGACATTACTGAACGTTAGCAGGCACATTGCAAATACAGTTCTCGTTGTGCCTGCAGCGCCTCATCCCAGTCTACGCAGAGACAGCAAGGGGGGCCTGATGAGAATGCTACAAAGCCAGCCCAGGTGTGTTTCTGTTTTCTGAACTTACTGTCAATGCATACAAATGACAATACATATAGAACCTTATAACCCTCCACTTGATGGCCAATGCTGAGTGGTGATGGCAAGAGTTCATTATGATTGTGTTGAGTTTGTTTAATGAGCGTTTATTAATCGGGCCCAGTGGTGCAAGGCTGCAGAGACTGAGGCAGGAGGCAGGCAGATCATGAAGAGTAAGTTCAGAGCCAGCCTAGGTAATTTAGTGAGAAACAGTCTCAAATTTTAAAGCATTTTCTTATTCTGTCTGTCTGTCTGTCTGTCTGTCTGTCTCTCTCTCTCTCTCTCTCTCTCTCTCTCTCTCTCTCTCTCTCTGTGTGTGTGTGTGTGTGTGTGTGTGTGTGTGTGTGTGTGTGTGTATACCACGTCATTCATGTGGTGCTCAGAGGACAACCCACAGGATTCAGTTCTCTCCTTCCACCATGTAGGCTCCAGGCCGTTAGGCTGGGTGTCCTGTGCCCTAACTGGCTGGGCCATCTCATCAGGTTTTAAAGCAAAATAAAAGGGGTCAGGGATACAGCTCGGTAGAAAAGTGCTTGCCTGACATGCACAAGGCTCCGATTTCCATCCCCAGAAAAGCAGACATTAAGTGAGAGGCCACCAAGCGCCAGTCCTGCATGTAACTGTATCCCCTCAGCCTCCTAGAAATTGCCATCTCCCAAATTTGGCTTTTTCATGTACATTCTCCCTCCCAGGCAGGATGTCACTGTCAAAGTTTGCTCTTAGAAAATTAAGCCATGGGGCTGGAGAGATGGCTCAGAGGTTAAGAGCATTGCCTGCGCTTCCAAAGGTCCTGAGTTCAATTCCCAGCAACCACATGGTGGCTCACAACCATCTGTGATGGGGTCTGGTGCTCTCTTCTGGCCTGCAGACACACAGACAGAACATTGTATACATAATAAATAAATAAATATTTAAAAAAAAAAAGAAAATTAAGCCATAGCTACTGGTTGGGATGGGGGTGGGGGCCTCTCTGGCCCAAGCCCCTGGGCCTCTGCACAGTCTACCCATGCTTTCTCACAAGCTGCTTGCCCGCATCTCAAATGCTTTCTCTTGGAGGCTCAGCTGTGCTCTGGGCTTCCCCATCCCAAGCCCTCAGTAGCCACATGGGCACTGACTGTTTCTCTCCTCTCTTCCCAAGCACAAAACTAATCCGCTGTGTTTGTCGCCTTTCCTAAAATGATGGCAGGCTTTCTGGGCAGCTCATCGTCCCTCAGGCCTGATGCTGAAATGCAAGGCAGGTATACTGGCAGAATCGAGATGAGCCCATAGACACAACACTGCAGGGCAGCTGCCCATGCCCACTGTGTGACTCCCTTTACTGCAGAGCAAGGGCTTCCCAGCTATAGGACAATGATATGGAGCCTGGCTACACCAACAGGGATATGAGTCATGTGGGTCACAAGGCAGAAAGATCCGTTTGCTGCAGTATGGTTGCCTTGCTATTACTGCTGTTGATTAATTATTGATTCTCGTTTCATTTTTGTAATGATAATAAAATATTCAGACAAAAACTAACTCAGAAGAACAGGAATATTATTCAGCTTACAATTCCAAGTTCCAGTCTGTTATTGTGAGGACACTAAGGCAGGAACTTCAAGCATCATATCTACAGTCAAGAGCATAGAGGATAAACCCATCAGTCCTCCCTCCCTTCCTTCCATTTGAGGTCAGATAGCTTTCTTTACCTCTGTGCAGTTCAGGGCCAGGCCTAGGGAATAGTGCTGCCCACGGTGGGGTGGTTCTTCTGACATCAGTCAACAATCAGGACAGTCCCCTGCAGAGATGCCCACAGGCCAGTGTAACCCAGATAAGGCTTCAGTAAGACTCTCTTCCCAGGTGATTCTCGTTTCTATCAAAATGCCAGTGAAAACCAAGCAGCACAGTGCTGCTCGCCAAAGGACTCAGGCCTCTTTACCATTAACTGCCTTCCACATGCAACTGCACAGCTTTGCGTTCAAGCTGAGCCTACACATCTCCAGAAAACAAAGGGCATTTCCAAGTGACAAGTGAAAAAGTTCTGAGCTCCTGTTTGCTACACCGACAAACCGTCTTTTTCCTACTTATTTTCCCCTTCTCTTCCCTGACCCACTGATCTTGAACTCCTAGCTTCAAGTGATCCTCCTGCCCACATTCCCCCAAGTAGCTGGGACTATATCTTGGTCTTGCTATCTTAAAACTCCTACAACCAAACTTTCTCTCTTTTTTTTTAAAGATTTATTTATTTATTATGTATACAACATTCCTTCCCTGTATGCTTGCATGCCAGAAAAGGGCACCAGATCTCATTAAAGATGGCTGTGAGCCACCATGTGGTTGCTGGGAATTGAACTCAGGACCTCTGTAAGAGCAGTTAGTGCTCTTAACCTCTGAGCCATCTCTCCAGCCCACGAAACGTTCTCTTTTCAGCAGGTAAATGCATGCACACAAAATCCAAAGGAAGCATAAACACACAATGGAAACCAAGTATCCTCACCCTGTGCCCTCCCCATCTAGTTCCCTCCCAGACACAGCACCACAGTTCCCGTGTCCTTACCTGTATCTTTCCAAAGATGATTTATGCAAAAGTCGCATTAATGTGAAGATTTGTGGTCTTTTTGGTTGTAGGGAATCAGCAGTATACTGTGCGTAGTCTTCTCCACCAAACAACCCTTACACGGGTTGCATAGCAGATATCCTGCATATTAGATGCTTACATTACAATTCATAAGAGCAGCAGAATTACACTTATGAAGCAGTAATGATGATGATTTTATGGTTGGGGGTCAGCACAACATGAGGAACTGGATGAAAGAGTTGCAGCATTAGGGAGGTTGAGAACCACTGATCTACACCCTTTCTTTTTCACTAAAAAATATGTCTTAAGAGTGACAGCCTCTCCATCCAGATGGAGCAGCCACATATTCTTAATTATGGCATAGTATTCTATAGCATGATGTCTTATTTCCTACTGGGGAACATCCAGACTTATCTCTAGTCTTTTGCTCTTACTAACACCGCAGTAGCGAATATCCTTGTAACATACATTGTTCCATATATATGCAGATATATTCCTTAAGATAGTAGTATTTTGGCCAAAAGGGTTCATAGTGGGCTGGGTATAGATAGTCATTTTGTAGAGTCTTTGACATGCACAAAGCCCTAGGTTCCATCCCAGCACTCGCGAAATAGAGACAGGAGAATCAGAAGTTCAAGGTCATCCTCAACTACGTAGTGAGCTCAAGACCAGCTTGGGTTACATGAGTCCCTGTCATCAAAAATCATGCAAGTATATGTGGTGGTTTGAAAGAAAATGGCCCCCATAGGCTTTAGAGAGTGACACTATTAGCAGGTGTGGCCTTGTTGGAGTAGGTGTGGCTTTGTTGGAGGAAGAGTGTCACTAGGGAGTTGGCTTTGAGGTCTCAGAAGGTCAAACTAGGCCTAGTGTGGCTCATTATCACTTTCTGCTGCCTGTGGATTCAAATGTAGAACTCGGCTCCTTCTCCAGCACCATGTCTGCCCGCGTGCCACCATGCTTCCTACCTTGATGATAAAGGACTAAACCTCTGTAACTGTAAGCCAGCCCCAACTAAATGTTTTCCTTTATAAGAGTTGCCAGGGTCATGGTGTCTCTTCACAGCAATAGAACACTAACTAAGGCAGTATCTTTGTAAGTATTGCTTAACCATTTCAGTATTCATGGAAAGAATATTTAGCCAGTGCTACCTCTTCTGAAAGGTCTAGAAAGTTTAGAAACTTTCAAATGCTTAGCTTTGAAGTGTTTGGGTTTTTTTTTTCCTTTTTTTCCAATATATAGTAAGTACCTACAGTGTGAAAGAAATGTTGGTAGACTTTGGGAAAGACCCATGTCAAGAAAGATGTGGTCACTGGCCATGTGGTATTTGCAGTCCCAGCAGGATAGGGAGCTACCGAGAGAACACAAGAAATAATTATACACAACAGATCATTACAAATCCTTACCAAGTGCCTTGAAGAACATGGTGACCAAAAAGCGTTTGATAAGCTCAGTCTAGGTATCTGAGATTTCCCTGAGAAAATGCTAGTTCTTCTGATCCCTATGACAAACTTGATGAGACAGAGAAAAATGGCAGGAAGACACATGGAGTTGGTCCTGCTGCAAGGATTACATAAACTGGAAAGGGTCTTCAGGGTCATTTCATTTCAGTCTCCTTAGTAGCCACAGGAGGAAATTAAGGTCCAAAGATGTCACTGACTTATCAAGGTTATACCACTAGTGGCCAGCAGGGCCTAGTTCTCCTGATCTCTTTAGGTGATGTTATAGTGCAGGATCCAGCGTGCTCCCCCTGAGGGCTGGGGACCTGAAGCCGGTGGCTACATCTTACTTAGCCTAGAGAGTTGCCTGGGTCTGTGTAGAAGAAACCTTAAGTTCAGGCCCTTGTGACTAGCCATCTACTACGTTCTGTTCTCTTTGCTAGTAGGATATAATTTAAGAACAAGGCAATCTAGCATTCCAGTCTAGCAGGTTGGTTTGGTCTTCAGCATACTTGTCTCTTCTCCAAGTTTAGAAATGGTAATAATGACCTTAATGATGGTGGTTACTTATTTAGTGCCTGCTCTATATCAAGTCCAGTTCTAAGCACTTTGCATGTGCTAAATTATTTGATATGAATAACAATCCTATAAGGTACATGTTATTATTACTCCATTTTACAGGGGAAAGAGGGGGGCTCAGACAGATCAAGGCATTTGCTGGAGGTCATAGGCTAGTGAGCTGTTGCAAGCTGTCTAGCTCCAGTGCTTTGTGTGTGACATGAAGGTAGCAAGCCCTGTCGGGAGGCACAGTCAGGATGTAGATGAGGAGATGGATGGGACAGGAAAGCTGAATGAAATCAAGGAAGGGGCTATTTACCGGAAACACAGCAAAGGACTGAAGGAATCCAGAAGAGGACTTGCTTAGTGTATACAAGGTCCTGAAATCAATCCCCAGCACTACAGGAAAAAAAGGTACCAAAGAATCAGCATAAGACCACATCAAGGACCAAGATGCCTTATGGTCCTGTTCATCACAGTCCCTCGGATCGTTAATGCCTCTGCTCACTTGCCTGCTCCTTTATGTACAGGCCACCAGCATCCTGTTGGCTTCAGGTTCCTTGTTCCCAGGTTCTCTGTGTCTCTTCCTCCCTCCCTCTTCCCCCACTCTGTGAGTTTGTCTGTGTTGGTACATGTCACATGTTGGCCCATGTGTGTGGAGGCCAGAGGTCAATGTTGGGTGTTGCTCCTCTGAAGCCATCCACCTTGTTTTCTGTGAGAGTCTCTCTGGGACTTTGCACTAGGCAAGTAGGCTGTGCTAGAAGAACATGCATCACCACACCCATCGTTTTCTATGGGTGCTGGGAACTGAAACCAGACTTTGTACAACAGGCATCTTACTGACTGTACTTATCTCTATCCCCTTATCATTCTTTTCTTTGACAGGGTCTTTGAACTTGATATTAGCTGGGAATGACCTTAAAGTTTTGACATTGCTACCTTCAGCTCCCCAGTGCTGGAATTATGGATGTGTATCCCCATGCCCAGTTCATGTGGTGCCGGAGATGGAGCCCACAGCATTGTTAGAGTGCCAAGCAAGGACTCTACCAACTAAGCCACAACTCCAGGCCCCTTGGTTTTCATTCTTTTTTTAAAAAAATATTTATTTATTTATTTATTTATTATGTATACAATATTCTGTCTGTGTGTATGCCTGCAGACCAGAAGAGGGCACCAGACCTCATTACAGATGGTTGTGAGCCACCATGTGGTTGCTGGGAATTGAACTCAGGACCTTTGGAAGAGCAGGCAATGCTCTTAACCACTGAGCCATCTCTCCAGCCCCTGGTTTTCATTCTTGTGGCTTTCTGACTCCCATTCTGAAATCCATGCCACTTGTCCCCTGAGCTTATCCTCAACCCCACAAACTCCCTCTGATTCACACTGCTCAAGATGGATGCCTGGGAGAGCAGCTGGGGGTGCACAGAAAGTTCATAGCCTCAAATCTGCACCGCTAGTCTTCAAGTGTCCTTGGCACATCTTCATAACAGCTTTTCCAAATCTTACCAGACTCCTCACTGCGCACCCGCCACCTTCTCTCTACGCGGATAACCTGGCACTGCTCTCCTCCCTGCGCACCTGTCACCTCCTCCCTAGGCAGATAACCTGGTTTGCTCTTTCATGGGGAAAGTGGAGTGATAAAGAAACTCAACCTTTTGCTTCTTTACGTGCTATTCCCTCCTTCCTGGTGGTGCCCTGGGCGTCACACCTCACGTTCCTCTTGGGCATCTTTCCTCCTTAACAGATGAATACATTCAAGTCCCATCCACGGGAAACACAATTTCTTCCTCCAATCCTAACTTGACCTTTCAGAGCGTTGCCCCCTCCCTTATTCCCAAACAGTCAAATTAGCTTATTTTGGTGTGGCGTTCTCGGAGTTTTGGATGGATGTAAAGATTTGTGTGACTGCCACCACAATGAAGACATAGAACTGTTCAGTCAATCCCCAAATTCTCGTGCACTCCCTTTACAGTCAAGGCCTCCAGGAGCACCCCTAAGATGGTAAGATTCCGTGTGTTCTCCTGATGGAGGAAGATCATTGGCTAATAAAGAAAGTGCCTTGGCCCATTTGATAGGCCAGCCCTTAGGTGGGTGGAGTAAACAGAACAGAATGCTGGGAGAGGAAGTGAGTTCAGATGCCATGCTCCCCTCTCCCCGGCAGACACGATGAAACTCCAACCCAGGCTGGATGTAGGCTAGAATCTTCCCCGTGGGATGCTACACACATTAATAGAAATGGGAAATTAAGATGTAAGAATTAGCCAGTAAGAAGCCAGAGCAAATGGGCCAGGCAGTGTTTAAATGAATACAGTTTGTGTGTTGTTATTTCGGGGCATAAGCTAGCCAGGCAGTCGGGAGTTGGATGGCAGGAACATAGCCCACAGCTCCTTCAACATTCTCTATCCCTGTGGTGTTATCTTCTGAAAATAGTGCACTCTGTGTCGTGCCTCTGGAGTTATACATGCTGTTGTATTCAGTGATAGCTTTAGGATTTCTATTTAATTCTATGCGTGTGTGTATGTCTGCGTGTGGCTATGTACCCATGAGTGTGGATGCCTACGGAGATCAGAAGAAGATATTAGATTTCCCTGGAGCTGGAGTTACAGGCAGTTCTGAGCTACCCGATGTAAGGTTCTGGGAACTGAACTTAGCCCTCTGCAAGAGCAGCAAGTGCTCTCAACCACTGAGCTATCTCTCCAGCCTCCAGCCTGTTCTTTATTTTTTTCTATAGATTTGTTTTCATTTAAATTATGTACATGGGGCTGGGTATATCCACCTGTGGGGGAAGCTTGCCTCAGCCTCACAAGTACCATGATTAAAGAGACAAGAGCGTTCCTTTCAGGAATTGAGCAATTTTGATGAGGACAGAATTTTATGAGTAGTTCGGGGGGGGGGGGGGGGGATGCAATTCATGGAGTGCCCGAAGAAAAGATGACCAAACTGAGAATGAGGGCCAGACTGAAATTGGCATAGACTGTCCTTTTTGCATTCTCTTATTCTTTGAAAAGTTTATACACATATACAAGTATAGTGGTCACATCCACCCCTCCCTCCCTCCTTCCAACTCTCCCTGGACCATCCCCACAGCATCTCTCCCCTTCCCCACTCAACATCTTCTTTTTCCCTTTTCTTCTTAAAGTTACCTAAGATGATGGTGAGGCTGGGCTAAACCTGACCACCAGGTGCCAGTCTCTAGTAAAAGTAGAAGGATGGCCAGGAGGTCCAGAGATGACAGCAGGAAAAGGATGTAGAGTAGCCTGGGCCCCAGATGGGCACTTTTGTCATGAGAGTGAAGCGGACAGCAATAGACAACCGGAAGAATGCCACAGTCCCCCTGTTCTCAACCCTGTGACGTTTGTGCTGTGGGAAAAAGCCCCTACTTGGTGGCTTCCCAGAAGAGGAATCAGTTTAGATAAGGAGTCAAGACGACACCAAAAGAAGATTACAGTCTGGGGCTGGGGAGATGGCTCAGTGGTTAAGAGCACTGACTGCTCTTCCCGAGGACCCAGGTTCAATTCCTAGTACTCACTTTGCAGCTAGCAACCATCTATAACTCCAGTTCTAAGAGGGTCTGATGCCCTCACATGTACATGGTACGCAGACATACATGCAGGCAAATCTCCCATATAGGTAAAATAAATATAAATAAATCTCAAAAAGGTTAGAGGCATAGAAGTATGTAACAGGTCCATTGGACATAGGCTGGGATGGAATGCAGGTATAAAATTGAGTCTATCCAAAATACCTGCTTTCTTTTAAGCAAAATACACCACAAATATGTGAGCAAGGCATCATGGTTCTATAGCAAATCAATTATTTGTTCTAAATTAGGCATGGTGGCTCATACCTGTGATCTCAGCATTTAAGAGGCTGAAACAGAAGTGTGGTGACTCCCAGCCAAACTGGGTTACATAAGAAAGGCTTTGTTTCAAAAAACTTTTATTCTAGCCAGGTGGTGGTGGCTTTAACCCCAGCACTTGGGAGGCAGAGGCAGGCAGATCTCTGTGAGTTCGAGACCAGCTTGGTCTACAGAACAAGTTCCAGGACAGCAGACAGCCAGGGCTACACAGAGAACCTTATCTCAAAAAAATGTTTTTTTTTTCCTTCTAATGTAGAAATAGGAGTGGCGGGCCGCTTCCCGCTGCCTGGCTCCCAGCTAGCTTACCCAAAATAATTACATGGAAACTGTATTCATTTAAACACTGCTTGACCCATTAGCTCTAGCCTCTTACTGGCTAATTCTCACATCTAGATTCACCCATTTCTAATAATCTGTGAAGCACCACGAGGTGATGTCTTACCAGGAAGGATCTTAACCTGCGTCCATCTTAGAGAGGAGAGCTATAGCGTCTGTGTCTCACTTCCCTTCTTCCCAGCATTCTCTTCTGTCTACTCTGCCTATCTAATTTTCTGTCCTATCAAAGGCCAAGGCAGTTTCTTTATTAACCAATAAAATAACACATTGACATAAGACCCACCAACATCATTCTAAGACCATGGAAGAAGATGAACTCTGAAGTTACTATTTTTTGCCACCATCTAGACACAGATCCATACCCGAGACCCTGCTCATTTTGTGTCAGATATTAAATTTCGAGTACTTCAACCACTCCCTAATACCTTTCTTTTCCTGCCAGGCTCAGAGTCCTTATCTTCCCCATCATGGAGGAGTAGATGTCCATTTCTCAGGAGCAGTGGACTGCTTCCAGCAGATAGTGAAGACCCAAGGGGTCCTGGGCCTCTGGAGCGGACTGACAGCTAACTTACTGAAGGTGAGGAGGGTGGCCTGTCTCCTGCTTCTCTGCTTCTTCCGCTTCTTTCCCTTCCTTATCATGCTAGTAGGATTCACATGAAAACACCCCATCTACCACTAATGGACACAGCCCATCGACCCTGATGGATACAATGGGGGAGAATCTAACACCCAATCCTAGAAGAGCTGAGCATTTAGTCTGATCTAGAATTTTCCAACAGTCGGACACATGGACCCCTAAGGAGAATACAGTCCCCATCTAAAATTGTTTGCAGAAATACAAATACAATCCACAAATGAATTATATTTCCATAGACTTCTGTCACCAGAATTAAGAACAAGAACTCTGAACTAGCTAGCTCACATGTAAATATGCAGTCAAGCCCAGCATATAGTGATGAACAGTGCTAATCAACGACATGCATATTCATGTAGACCCAGTGCTAGCCCAGGGCATGCCCTTAAGGGGCTCTGCCATCCTTCTTCCCCTCCCGCACTGTACCAGATTTCCTCTTTCTACGTTCTTTGATTCCAAAAAGAATCACCATGTAGTGCTGTCCACAGCTATTATCTTAGCTGACCCTGGTGCAGCTCCACCGCAGAAACACCTTTTCTTAATAACTTACTTCATGGCTCCAAAGGGTTGGGTTCAGCTCAGGACAGCTTCCCTGTTCTGTTAATTAAACCTTGAGACACTGAAATTGGCTAAAGGGAAATGACTGAATAGAGTCATTTCTTACTCCCCATACTTCCTAGTGCACACCAATAAAAAAATAAAAATTAGCCAGGCAGTGGTGGCGCACGCCTTTGATCCCAGCACTCAGAGACAGAGGCAGGTGGATCTCTATGAGTTCAAGGCCAGTCTGGTCTACAGAGCAAGTTCCAGGACTCCATGACAGCCAGGGCTACACAGGGAAACCCTGTGTCCAAAAACCAAACAATAAATTAAATTAAAATTCATTTTGTAATTTCAAAAAGTTGTTTTAACATGTAGGCTGGAGGGATAGCTCAGTGAGGAAGAGTGTTTGCTGATCTTCCAGAGAACCTGAGCTCAGTTCCCCACACCCATGTTGAGATGCTCACACCACATATAACTCCATGTCCTAGTGACCCAGTACCCTCTTCTGGCCCCCATGGGTGCCGAGCCACACACACACAGATAGGTGAATAAAAGTAAGTCTTTTTGAAAAAAGAATTTAACACAATTTTCATTTTCTGTTCAACAGGTCGTTCCATATTTTGGAGTTATGTTTAGCATGTTTGAGTTCTGCAAAAGAATTTTTCTTTATCAAAATGGTTACATCCTGTCCCCACTGACCTACAAACTGACCCCAGGGGTGGACCAAAGTTTGCAGCCCCAGGAGTTACGGGAACTAAAGAAGTTCTTCAAGCCCAGAAAACTGGAATCTAAGAAACCAACTCTGTAGAGCTGAATGGACGGCGTGCAGCAGTCGCAAGTGACTATGCCCTCCTAGCTGTGCACATTGGGAGGAATGAGAGGGTCCTTCTGCCTGCTGCTCTTGGAGATGTGACCACGAGGCCATACATCACATCAGAACCCCAAATTTTCCCTGTGAATACCTGTGCCTTGAGAAGCTTTTGTGACACTGCTCTGTCACATGGCGCTCCACCAGACTGTACGGAAGCCTAGTGGCAATCAGATGCACAGGATATGGCATCTTGCAGCTGAAGTAGCAGAGCAGAGACCATGTCACAAGCCCAGTCCCCAGAGTCCAGGTGAAGTAATCCAAGTTTCTCTAACTGTGACCTGTGGCTTCCCCATATAGACCTCCTTAAACTTAGACCTTTGTGAGCTTCTGAGAGCACAAACCACCATGTAGGTTAGGCCTTAGCAAAAATCCTAAATGAAAAGTTTTTGGTGTTTTTTTTTTTCAAATGATCTTGCTATGAAGTGCAGGCTGCCCTCATTCATGATCTTCCTGCCTAGACTCCCAGACACCTGAGATTTCAGGTGTACACTGCAATGCTCATCCTTGGAACCCTAATTCTTTTTTTTTAAGATTTATTTATTAAGCATACAATGTACTGCCGGCCAGAAGAGGGCACCAGGTCTCATTACAGATGGCTGTGAGCTACCATGTGGTTACTGGGAATTGAACTCAGGACCTTTGGAAGAGCAGCCAGTGCTCTTACCCTCTGAGCCATCTCTCCAGCCCCGGAACCCTTATTCTTTATTGAAAACTCAAGCACCCCAAGCCTAGAAGCTTCTATTTCAAGAAGGCAGTTTTCCCCATGACTTCTTAAGGATGCACTGACATTCCTGACTGACGTCATGCACAGTTCCAGCAGCCTTGATTATCTGCCTTTTTAACTTCTTTTATAAGCCGACCCTGAAAATAAATTATTCAATCATTTTCTGTTATTCTCACAAGATGCCCTAATTGGCATAAAATAAAAATCTTTTAGGCTAATCACCCATTGGAGAAACTTTTGCTTGTTTGTTTTTTGTTTGTTTTAATGTAATCAAATGAGGATTCCATGTAAAATTCATATAGCTGTACTTTCCAAATAGTACCAATCATGTATTTTAAACACATTAATATGTTAACACGATGTGCTGGTGCCCACTGCAGTCATAGCCCTTGGGAGGCTAAGGCAGGAAGATCATGAGTTCAAGATCAGCCTTAGCTATGTAGGTAAGTTTAAGTTGTTCTTGTGCATAGTAAAATCTTATCTTAGGAAACAATAAGTAAATAAATAAATGTATTTCTGACATGAATTCACGTATGTTTTCTGTTCCTTCCCTGCCATATACATGAAGGTTTTCAGAATTTTGAAAGTATTTTTCCAGCCGGGCGGTGGTGGCACATGCCTTTAATCCCAGCACTCGGGAGGCAGAGGCAGGCGGATCTCTGTGAGTTCGAGACCAGCCTGGTCTACAAGAGCTAGTTCCAGGACAGGCTCCAAAACCACAGAGAAACCCTGTCTCGAAAAACCAAAAAAAAAAAAAAAAAAAAAAAAGAAAAGAAAAAAAAAAGAAAGTATTTTTCCATATTAAACTTATTTTCTAAAGGAAAAAAAATGTGACTGGAGAGTTGGCTCAGCAGTTAAGAACACTTTTGCTTCGCAGAGGACCCGAGTTCAATTCCCTGCACCTACCTGCACGATGGTTCACAACCATCTGTAACTCCAGCCCCAGGGGATCTAACACCCTCTTCTGAACTCCACAAGCACCAGACACACACATGGTGCACATTCATACATGCAGAAAAACACCCACATACAGAAATAACTCTGAAATTTTTTCTTTAATTTTTTAAAAGGGAAAAAATCAGTTATTTATTTCTAATCTAAGTTATAAAACTATGTTTAAGTTCTCAGACCTTTGTCGTATTTAAATTTACAAAATAACTCATTTTTCCCACGTCTGTAGCAGTCTGTTTTACTGAGAATGAAGCTGACATGTGTTACCTGATCTGTTAGTATTTGCGGAAAGGCAAATACTGCATTCAGTCAATAATCCATGTTTGTTTATTGTTATTTTCTTTAAAGCAACAAAACAAACTTTCAGAAAATGTTGAATTCTATAAGTGTGTTTTTGACAAGAGTTACCATCTAGCCTCAGATTGTTCTCATCTTAGTGTTTCTTCCGTGCAGTCTTCCGCAAATGTCACATAAATGCTACTTGGCACAGAGATATTCTTTGAGCTGAGGGGGACATTGTTGTTTTGATTTGGCTTGTTTTTTAAGAGTTACTCTTAGTTATTTGTGTGATGGAGTGAGGGGGTGTGTGTGTGAGCACGGGTGCTGTAGAGGCCCAGATCCCTCGGATCTGGACTTCCAGGTGGTTGTATGCTGCTGGCCATGGTTGCTGGGAACCAGATTCAGGTCCTCTTCTAGATCAGTATGTGCTCTTACTAGTTGAGCCATCTCTCCAGCCTCACTGAATTGTGGTTTTTTTTTTCAATAAAATCAAGAATATGTCTCATTTTCCTGTAGTTTCAGAACAACTCCTTAAAATTCTAGTTCTGTTTCTAAAATGAACTTAGAGCTATTTTTATTTCCTTAGAGGTGAAACAAGATGTTCTGCCTTCCTAACTTCTGGTTGCCAGTGTGCACCTCCCAGCACTAAGAACCTCAGAAGAATCATAAAGAAGTGCGGTGTGCTAGTCACCCAGGAGGAACTTAAGAAGAAAACATACCTGCACCCATGAATGTCTAGGGCTACAGAGCAAAGCCAAGCACAGCATGACAGAGTGGCATCTCCTACCAACAGGGCGGCCATGGGGCTAGTAATGAGTAGGGACTCTGAGGTAATGAGTCTTGAATTAGGCTTAGGTTGTTTGGGTTTTGTTAACAGGGTTTCCTAGAATGCCATTCAGTATGTAACCCAGACTGGCCTAGAACTCACAATTCTCCTACCTCTGTTTGCCGAGTGCTAGAATTCCGCTTGTTTTATACTGTGCCTAGTTTTGAACGGATTTATTTTTTGTAAACTTTCATTATATTGCTGTTTTATTTTCTTTTTCACAGGAGTTGTTTTGAGACAGGATTTCACTCTGCAATCCATTTGGGCAGGGATGAAACTGTGTATTCCAGGGTGGCCTCAAACTCATGACAATTCTCTTGCCATAGCCTGGTGACTGTTGGAATTAAAGGTATGGGGCCACATAGCCTGCTAGGTTTTGATACTTTAAAGTATCTCACTGTGTAGCCCAGGCTGGCTTTGAACTCATAATCTACCTTACTTAGGTTCCTGTAATAGACAAAATGACAGGTTTCCCCTTACATGCCTGGCTCTGAACTCCGTTTTGAAGAAAGGACTGTAATAATTTGAATGGATATGTCCCTATTAGGTGCATATACTTGGATATTCAGTTGCCACTGACTTTAGTGATATTTCATTTGTATTTTAATAAATGAAGTTTGCCTGAAGATCAGCGAGTACACCCACACTGGTCAGCCACACAGACCAGGCAGTGGTGACACACACCTTTAATCCCAGTAGCCACACTAGTTGCCATAGAAACAGGTAGTAGTGGTACACGCCTTTAATCCCAGCCCTAGAGAGGAATATAAAATGGGAGGAGACAGGTCTCAGCTCAGTCTCATTCTGAGAATTTGTGGAGACAGCTTCACCATTTTGGTCTGAGGTGGAGGTAAGAGCAAGTGCTTTGCTTTTCTGATCTTCAGGTTGAACACCCCCCCCAAAAAAGTGTGAGTATGTTTTTTTTTTCTGAGACAGGGTTTTATTTATTAAAATATGAATGATATATCACTACGCACTGATGGTGCTGGTCAGGATGTTATGGAACCGTTAGGAGGAGCAACCTTGCTGGAGGGTGCGCCTCCCTGGGGGCAGAGTTGGAAAGTGTAGTTTTGTCCCGCTTGCACTCGGATTTCTGCACGTGGTTGAAGAGACCAAGTCTCAGCTTCTTGGCTACCTCCCACCTGCTGCCATGCTGTCTCTGCCTTCGTGGACCCTCTGTCTGGAACTATAAGGCAAAATAGACTCTTCTATAAGCTGCTTCTGGTCATGGTGTCTATCACAGCGACAAAACAGTAACTCATACAAGGACATAGGCAGGATCACAGGGATGAAGGCAAGCGAAGAGGGCTGGAGGCAGAGAGAGAAGACTGGCATTTGTCCATTTGTTCAACAACTATTAGGCACTGTGAATGCAGTGATACGAAAGGCAAATGTGACCCCGGACATCACATTCTAGTGATCAGAGAGATCAATAGACAAGCCAACGGATCAGAAAGCTAGGTAGTAATGTTGGAAGAGGAATAACAGGGTGCTTTAATTAAAGAATTCTGTGGGGGAAAGGTAAAATCTTTCAATTGGGGGTCCAGGGAAGGCCATTCTGAGAGGTGACATTGGAGATACAACCTAAAAGAAGAGAATGAGCCAACCACAGAGAGAAGCAGGAAGAACATCTCCAACAAATGGAAAGAGCAAGTGCAAATGTCCAGTTGTCCAAAAACAACTTAGTGAACAGAGAGGAAGGGGATGCAGCCAGAGTGTGGTCCCTGGGTGAAGGAGTGGGATGAGATGAGCTTGACTAGAGGGGCACATCATCTGCATCTGTTTGATTGCAGCTCTGGAGACAGAATCCAGTGCCTTGCACATGTCAGGCAGGCCCTCTGCCGCTGAGCTACATCCTCCGCTCTAAAAGCCCAATCTCATATGGTCACATAGGCCATGTATTACGAGAAGTACTGAAGATTTTTAAAAAGAAACAACACGATCTGGTTTTCAATTTAACATACAATGCTAGTTGTTATGGGGAGGACAGAGTACAAGGAGGCATAGTTAGAAAGGAGAAGACCAAGAAAGAGTTGACTCCAGAGTTATGAGCAAGAAATGCCAGCTTGGCCTAGACTGGTGGCAGAAACAAAACTGGGTTCAAGGACTGGAGAGATGGCTCAATGGTTAACGCACATGCTGCCCTGATAAAGGGTTGGAGTATAATCCCTAGCACCCACTCTGGGCGGCTCACAACTGCCTGTAACTCCAGCTCCAGAGGGAACTGGCACTTCTAGCTTCCGAGAGAATCTGCACTCACATGCACACACCCACAGGCCACACACACAAACAAGTTGAAAATAACAAAAATAGGTGATGGGGAGATTGCTCAGTGGTTAAGAGCATGGGCCCAGGTTCCATTCCCAGCACCCATAGGGTGGTTCAAAATCATTTGGAATGCTGTCCCCAGGGAAATCTGATGCCCTCTTCTGGCCTCCTTGAGCACAGCGTGCACGTGGTGTACAGACATAAAAAATAATACTTGTAAAAAGAAAAATGTTAAGACATATTTTGCAATTGAACTTAAAAAGACTTGCGGAACAACTGCATGCAAGAAGTAGAATGGGGACATTGAGGCTGGGACCTAAGGTTTTAGCTTTTAATTTAACAAAGCAGATGATGTTGTCATTTGTGGACATAGGAACAATGGAGGAGGGCAGGAGTTTTGCCAGAGAAGAAATGAAAAGTTCCATTGCTAATATGTTAAATTCAAACTTCCCAAAATAAATCCAAGTGAAGAAATAGATAGTTGACTAGAGCCTAAATTGTCCCTATAATTGCCCAATTTGTAGTAGAGGGAATAATAACCCCAAAGTACCCATACACTAATTCCCAGAACCTTTTAATGTATTCCCCTACACAACACAATAAACTTGGGGGTTGGGCTTATTTTGTTTTATTTTGTTTTTTTGAGGCAGGGCCTTCCTATTATAGCCCATACCAACCCTCCTGCCTCAGCTTCTCAAGTAGTGTGATTACAGGCATCATTCCCAGAGACAAAAAGATCTTGAACAAGTGACTACAGTGAGACAGATAGTTCTGGCTTGTCTGGGTCTTCCCAGTCTCTTCAGAGTCCTCAAATACTGAGGAGATGGACTCAGAGTGTGGGGAGGAAACTAGAAATGCAAGAACAAGAGAGACATGACAAGGACTAACTCTGAACACAAAGGTGCCCAGGAGCCAAAGAACAGATGGCTTCTAGAAGTTAAGAATGAGCCGGACGGTGGTGGCACACGCCTTTAATCCCAGCACTCGGGAGGCAGAGGCAGGCGGATCTCTGTGAGTTCGAGACCAACCTGGTCTACAGAGCTAGTTCCAGTACAGGCTCCAAAACCACAAAGAAACCCTGTCTCAAAAAAAAAAAAAAAAAAAAAAAAAAAGAAAAAAAAAGAAGTTAAGAATGACCGAATGAC